GGTGAAATGAGGGCATTTGATGTTTTTGTTCCAACTGTGGCTATATATCTTATTTTAAAATGAATTATCTATCATAGTGCAAATGAGAGCAGTGTGTAGGTATTGGAAATATGAAGTATATTGTGCTAAAATTTTGCACATATTACATGAGTTCCCTGATAGCTTCCAGCTTGAAGTATTAGCTGGCATACAGCATTGTCTTGGGAAGATAAACAGTCAGAGTCTTGGAAGAACTCTAAATAGAGAATTTGAAAAATTAGAGAAATTGAATACTATGTTTCAAAAAATGTTGCCAACAAGCTTTACTGTGTTGCTTTAAAGAGAAGAGACTACTCTGTCTCTGAATTTCTTCCTGGAGACAGTTTCCTAAGATACTTTTTGAAGGATGAAGAATTGAACTAATTGTTTGTTTTTTTTCCTTTGCAGATGGTGAACGTGTACCACGTACATCAGCATTCCTGTTTCCTGTACCTTGGCAGTATCCTTGTGGATGAGTATGGCATGGAAGAAGGCTGTCGGCAGGGACTACTGGATATGCTCCAGGTTGGGGAGAATGGATGCATCAGGCCTGGGGCGGGTCTTTGGGCCTAGCAGTGTGTTCTTCACTGTATCTTTAATTCTGTTGCTGCTTTATGGATTTCCCCCAGGCATGTTGATTTCCTAATAACAGGGAGGTAGAAACTTCCTAGATGTTTTTTCCACAGGCCTGTTTGAGAGAATGAAAGAGAGACCACATGGATGTAATAATCATTACAGATGTTACTGCCTGGTTAATGTCACCATAGATAGGGTGCTTTTGAGGGGGAAGTGAACAAAATGAATCTCGTAAGCTTAATTTCTTGCCTGGAAAAGACAATGAACTAATTTACTTAGCAGAGATTTTTAGGGTTAATAGCAGGCATTGGAAAAGGCTCCTGATGTACCTCTTTTTCCCTCTCCCCTAATCACGAGGGGAAATATATTAAATAAAGTATACTACTTTTCACAAGATGTCATTCCATTTAAAATGGAGATTTCGTAATTATTAAGAAAACCCATTCTACTCCCTTAGTGGGCTAGACCATATCAAGTATGTAAATGGACTCTTTGCTTTCAGAAATTTCTAAACTTTGATATGACATCTATCCAGTTTTATCAACTAAAAATTGATATCTTCAACCCTTTCTGAAATGTGGACTGCATTTGTGAAAACTGTTTATGTCAACTGGGAAGGATTTCTGTCTTCCTTTTCCTGATCTGATTCTCATCACAATCTTTTTCTTTTCCTACCTGTGCTTCCCTTCTTTGTTTCCTTTGTATTTATTGTGATATTTGGCAAGTCTGAAGGCTGTGGCATTTCTATGTAAGCATTTCTTTTAAAATCATTGTTCTGTTTTAGGCACTGTGCATCCCCACCTTTCAACTCCTAGAACAGCAGAATGGCCTCCAGAATCACCCTGACACTGTAGATGACCTGTTCAGGCTAGCCACCAGGTAAATCCCTCCGAAGAGCAAACTTTTTTTTTTTAATTGCTCATCCCATCACTGCTTAGCTTTGCCATCTGACACTTGGCTCTTTTCTTCTCCTAAAATAAGGTCCCTGGAGTAGGTAGATTAATGATTCATAACCCAAGGTATAATTGTGTGCTGGTATATCCCCAGAA